GCTGCACCCCATCTTCTCTTGATGTTCACAACCCTACATTCCTGCACAGTAGCAAGGAATCACCATACAAACAGGAGACAGAGGTTAGAGAGCAAGGGAAAGTGCAGGAAGGGTACCCCACTGGGGGGTTCCTGGGGGCACGTGTGATACCCTGGAAGTGGACTTTCAGATGTTGGTGGCTTTGTCAGAATCTGCCATTCTCTAACTAGAATTAGGGTCAAGACTGACCATGGCAATGCCAGGGAGTCTAACCAGCAATGCTGTCTCCTTTTTGAAAATGTAAAGGGCCAGGTCTCTGGACCAAGTAGCCAGCACCTCTAGTATCAGCCTCCCCATAGAGGGACACACACACACACACACACACACACACACTCTTCCCTAAGCAAGCTCTCCTTCGGTGAGCAAGGAGTATAATTTGCTGAATGGTGCAACCCGGAGGACAGGAGACGTTACACTCAGAGAACGGAGACAGGCGACTGGCCTGTGACTGCAGACAGCAGCTTAAAGACCACAGTCCTTTCTGCTTCAAGGCAGAGAAGAAACATTGTTTTTGCCTCTTTCTTCTTCATAGTTATTATCCAAGAGGCTTCCCCGATCCCAATCCCCAGCACCATCCTCACAGTTTCAGGTCATCTATTGCCAGTGACTAAAGGCAAACAGGTCTGGGGCCAAGGAGGGCGGCTCTCCCTTGCGCAGTCCTTCCCTAGTGGCTCCCAAATCTGGTGGTTTTTCTGCCTGCCTTTCCCTCGGGGGAGACTCCGGAGAGGCTGAAAAAATCTGGGCGCCCGCTCGCTCGCTTGTCAAGAAGCAAACTGTCTTCACATTCTCCAAGAGCAACATCCCTGCCTAGGAAGAGGAAGGAAGAGGCAAAATAAATAAAACCAGTTAATGTTGTAGTTAACTTGCAAATCAAGTAAATCTGTTGGTGCCGTATTTGAGAAATAAACCATCAGAGCGTCACAGCAAACACACACTTCTGAACGTCTTCATTTTGATTTAATGGTATATCAGCGTCAACTATCGCTTCCTCTGCTGGTACACACGGCCTGATGCCGCGGGAGGAGGATGCCCATGTTTATCACCGAGTGAGATGACTAATTACACCTTGTCAATCACCGGCTATGAAGACATAAAACCAGCGCGCACAATGAAGTAGTTGCCTGCAGCGTCAATTAGTTGGCGATTCGGAGGTTATTGCGTGGCCCTGCTTTGGCCGCCTCTAATAACGGGACAGAGCTCCGGGAACAGCGCACTGATCAATCACCCTCCGTCCGCGGCCCGGCTCCCGCGCCCACTTCCCCCGCCCGGGCGGCCTCACTTTCTTTGGGCGGCATGTGCTTCCTCCCTCCGCGGCCCCAGCTCGGCGGCGCCGGCAGACCCGGGAGCCCAGGGAAGTTTGCGCGCGGCAGCCCCGCAGCCGGCAGCCCCGCAGCCTTCGGGGAGCGCCGGGGCTGGTGGCCCCTTTGTTGGAAGAGGCGTGGAGGGAGCGCTTTTGTTCTGAGTTAGTCACGGTGGCCGGCTGGAGGCTGCTACCTCATTATGCGCCGGGTCTGCTTGTCTGCAAGGAAGCAGATGGTGGGGAGGTGGGCAGCGGCGAGAGTAGCCAGACCTGAATTCCGTTCACCTGTCACCTCCCACAAAAGGCAGGTTCAAGTGACTAAGGGATTCTGTCCCCCTGTCTGGGGGAGGGGCGTCGAGGGGCCGCTCTGTTTACCGAGCCTCAGGAGGATTCATTTACCTGCAGACGCCTGCGCCCCCCACCCCACCCCTTCCTTCTCCTGGGCTGCGATTCCTCGCACTGTGTAAATGTCACTCACGTGTCAGGACGTGTGTTTACAGCCTGTTTCTCTCCTTGTTTAGTCTCCGCGGACAGGGCTTAGCGGTTGCGCCACGTACCCCCGCCGCTGGGGGATATTAGCAAAGTTAAGGGCCTGTGGACCCCGGGGCCGAGCACCCAGATCCCGCGCCGCGGCGGGAGATGCGTTTGAGCCTCTAGCGGACCGGAGCGCGTCCCAGCCTGACGGGGAGAGGAGCAAGCGGATGCACCCGGAGGGTATCGTGACCCCCGGAGAATCTGCGGGCGGTCACGCTGGGTGTGGGCTGCTGGTCAGAGAGGTGGCGACGAAATCGTGTGCGTACACGTCTGGGGGGAGTGAAGAGCCGCAGGGTGTGTTTCCACGTTTCTTGGGAAGCCCGCGGCAAGAGTTCCCGAGTGCTCCTCTCCCCAAACTCCCAGCTCCTGAGGCAGCCCCTTGAGTTTTCGAAAACATATTGCATCCATCCAGCCCAGGCTCGGAGCTACACCAAGGACAAACGCTCCAGCGTTGTCACAATTTTTTCTACTCCTTGGGCGACCTCCAGATGAACCCCGGTGACTCTGAGATTAAAATTTCATTCCCTACTTTCTTTGAAAGAAAGTGCCCCAGATGCGTCAGTAAAACATGCCTGTGTAGGCGTCCGCGTGCCCGGGTGCAGGCCGGGTGTAGGCGCCAGAGCCCAAGTCTGTGTGAACACATGCGCACGCGCATCTTTGGGTTTGTGGTCCTTCCCTCACGTTGGGGCATCTGTGCATGTGCAGCATGTACACACTTACTTCAAGAATTTTTTGCAAATATGCAAAACATGGCCTCCTAGAAAGTGCACACGGGGACTTAGGAAGAATCATTTGAGCATGAGATTGTACTATAACCGCTTTATAGAAGCCTCCCTCTGCTCGGCGCTGGACCCTCTGATGTGCACACGAGGACCCTAGCTTTCCCTTCCTGCTGGCCGTGTTTTTGCCAACGGAGAGGAACATGTGAATTTGCACACATGAACATGAGTGCATGTGCTTGGGCATTACAGGCACACATATATTTATATTGAAAAGTTATGTCTGGTATGTGGAAAGTATGATTTTGTGCTGCCTCAACTTTGTGCCCTTATGTAAGATAAATTGCATAGATTCTTGCTAGCCCCTTCCCTCCTCCTGGCAAGCAAGCCACTTCAGACTGACCCACCTTCAAAGCAGATGGAACTCTGTAACTGAGTTGTTAATTCTGTTTTTCTCTACAATGACTTTTTATTTTGTAAATCCAGCCTCACCACACACCTGTGTATTGCTCTTGGGTCCCCAAGAGAGCCTATTTAGGTTAAGCTTAAAGTCTGGGGGCCGGGGCCGGGTAGAGTTGGGCTGTGTGCAGGCCAGGTCGCTGGTCTTTGGAGAAGTGGTGCAACCAGGCAGCTGGATGGATGCTGGTCAATAGCTGAGTCTATGGCATGACGCACCCAGTGGTAAAGAATGGGCCTGTGGTCTTTAAGAACCTTGTTGATTCCTCAGAGTGGGAAAGTTTAATAGGAGATGGAGAGGGACAAGTGGGGGCAATGAAAGAATTTGCTGAGTGCCTGCTGTGTTATAGGTATTTTACATCCGTGTCTTTCGTTCATCACATCCATGTGAATAGGATTTCCCCTTCCGGAAAGATCAGAACTCGCTAAGGAAAATTAAGTCATTTGCCTAAGGTTAGGTTTGTGCGTAAATTGCAGATCTTGGATTTAAACCCATGCCTTTTTTAGTTCCTAAAGGCTGAAGAGATTTAGACTGGGAAGAAGGAGAAATCAGGCCCTACTTCTCTTGGAGCCAGGATTGCTGGTTGGCCCTCCTTCCCCTCGAATAACAGCTCCCCTGGTCTCCTGCCTTTTTGGCTCAGCTGGGTCCCCTGGAGGCCTGCGCAGCCTCCCGCATTCCCCCGTGGCGCGGAGCCTGGCCCTAAGGCCGAACTGGCGGGAAGCAGCCCAAGGCTCTGGGAGCTCTACCCCAGGCCTGCCTTCCCAGGCCTCTCCAGACTGTGACGAGGGGTCGGCTCTTGCGGGCCGAGGGGAGACCGGAGTGAGTCCTCTTCAAGCATCCTCTGACTGTGCCTTCTTAGGGGTGGGGACGGCGGGGAGAGAGGGTTTTATTTTCCTTCCCGAAAAAAAAAAATACCCCCAAAAACAAACCCAACCCCGAGGAAACAGTTCGTAGCTTAAAAACTCCAACACCCCCTCCCTCCCTCCCTCCCACTCCTCCCCTCCAGCCTCGCCCACCAGCTCCCACCATCTCGTGGCTCTTCTCCTCCTCTTGCTTCTCCCCTCCCTCTCGGGTCTCCCGCCTTCCCGGAGCACGCGCTGCCACGGCCTGGGGTGCGGGGCGGCCAATGGCGCGGCGGCAGGACGTGATGTCAGGCGCGGCTGTAGAAAAGGCGCGGACGCTTGGCTGGCGCGGACTGCAGAGCCGGGGCTGGGCTCGGCGCGCTCTTGGAGAGCTTTGCACGCGGCTGGGCCCGCGGCCGGCGACTCCTCCTCCCACTCTGCTCCTCCTCCTTTTTCTCCTCCTCCTCTACCTCCTCCTCTTTTTCCTCCTCCTCCTCCTCCTCTACCTCCTCCTCCTCCTCCTTCTCTTCCTCCTCCTCTTCAATTCTCCCGGTGGCTCGGCTCGGCTCGCTGGCTTCGGAGAAACCCTTACTCCAGTCGCCCACCCAGCGTCTGAGCGGGTTGCCTTAGGCTGGGGACGCACCCCAGGGAGTGGAGAGGTCCAGGCAGCTGGGCCTCCGCGGGCACCTAGACGCTCCCGAGTGAGCCGGGACTGCAGCCGTCGCCGCCTCGGGCAGACTTTGCGCTCCTGCTTTGCGCCCGGGGCGCCGAAGCCAGGCCGGCAATGCCCGCGGCGTGAAAGCGCCCGCGGCGGGCGCCGACCTCTGCCCTCGTCTCCCTCCCCCTTTCCCCCCCAACCCCGTGCCCTTGTGACCCTGGCTTTGGCGCCGCCGCCCAGGCGCCCCGCGATGTAGCTGCCCCCGCGCCTCGGCGGGAGGCATCCTGGCCCGGGGGCGCCCGGCCTGGGGGCGCAGCCGAGCTCGGGCGGGGCCGGGGCCGCGGTGGCGATGCACCGGGCCCGTTAGCGCCGGGAGCGCCAGGCAGCTGAGGCGGGGGGGCAAGCCCTCCCGCGGAGAAGCCGCGCCCCCGGCCCCGCCGGTCCCGCCGCGATGCTGTTCCACAGTCTGTCGGGCCCCGAGGTGCACGGGGTCATCGACGAGATGGACCGCAGGGCCAAGAGCGAGGCTCCCGCCATCAGCTCCGCCATCGACCGCGGCGACACGGAGACGGTAGGCGCACGGCTGCGGGTCGGGCCGAAAGCTGGGACGGGGCCGTGTTGGTCTGCGCCTCTGCTCCCCAAAGTTTGGGGGCACTTTGGGTAGCGCCCTTCGTGCCGCACGGGACTGGGTGCTGGGGATCCGCGGACAGGATGCAAGGCCCTCCGGCTCGGGGGACACCAGGCTGCTGGGGAGGAGGAGGGAAACAAGGTTGAAACCGAAATGTTAGTCCCAGAGGGTGGAAAAGAGCACTTCTCCAGAAGTGGAAGCAAAGTCCTACCCGGGGCCTGAGATGGCTCTCTTCTCACTTGGCCGGGCTCTCTGGTCACCGGCCCCGGCGTGCTTCTCCGCCGCTTGGCCCTGGCTGCTGGCGGAGCCGGGAAGGGCAAACCAACCCGGTGCACTGGGTCTCCAGCTGGCTTTGGCCGCTCTTGCTTCCTGGCAATTCGGGATTCCCTCCCCAGCGCAATTTCAGGGGGCCAAGTCTTCTGGGCCGCTGCTTTTTGCTGATCGCGACCTGGGCCGCCTGGCCCGTTCGATTTGGCCAGGCCAGAGCTCGTAGTTCAGGCTGTGGCCTGCCTCTCACAGAAGCAGAGTCCGTTCGAATCTCCACACCTGGCTCTGCCAGCCCAGCCCCAAATAGGCAGTTCCTTGCCCCAGACCTCCCTGGGAGCCAGATGAGCAGACCATTGCCCAAGCCGGGCCCCGAAGTGACCTTTAGAGCCGGAGGAGGTGGGGCGCCCGGGAAGTTTCTCTGCTCAGAAAGCAAGAGCGGCAGCTCCAGTGCCTCCATCTTCCGAGCTCTTCTTCCCGGGTTATCTCAGCCTGTCACTTGGGTTAGCCGACAATTTGGATGGGGCCTCTCCTGCGCTCAGAAACTTCGAAGGTGCCTCTGCACCCCACTCATCATCTCCCAGGATCTTGGGACCTGTGACCTGCCCTGACCTAAACATTTGGCTTAAGGATCCAAAGATCACTGGGGCTGGGGTCCAGAAACTCTCCATCTCTGGACAGGAGTCTGTATGGAGGGTGACTTTTAATAGTCATCTTACTCCTTTTTCTGGGGATCCTGTCGCGTACGAGTGGCTTCTGTAAGAAACAGTTTTGGGGGAGCTTTTGGAGGGCTTCATGGGGGAAGCCACCGCCATGTCAGTCCCCAAACAGCCTGAGACTTTCTGGGAGAAGGGCAGAGGGGGAAAAAGAAGGGAGTGAAGTCGGGGGAGATCTCTCCAGGCCAGCAACCTGGCCTGGGCCTGTGGCTTGCTTGGGTTGTGTGGGTGGACCTGGGTTCTGAACCTTCTGGATATGGGTCTTTTAGGAGTGGAGGGAGCACACTGCACACCCTTGGTGGCTTTCTTCGAGTTCAGGGCTGGCCAGTTATGGAGGGAGCTTTGGGTGCCTTCTTTCCCCATTTCCCTGAGGCAGCAGCGGAGGCAGGGTCGCAGGCTGATGCAGGCGCCACCTTCTCCCACCTCCCTCCCTCCCTCCTGCAGACCATGCCGTCCATCAGCAGTGACCGCGCTGCGCTGTGCGCCGGCTGCGGGGGCAAGATCTCCGACCGCTACTACCTGCTGGCGGTGGACAAGCAGTGGCACATGCGCTGCCTCAAGTGCTGCGAGTGCAAGCTCAACCTGGAGTCCGAGCTCACCTGTTTCAGCAAGGATGGAAGCATCTACTGCAAGGAAGACTACTACAGGTAGCCCCCCCACCTCGGGCGGGACCCACTGCTCCTCAGAACTCCCCGTCTCCGGCGCAGTCTTGCCTGTCTGCTTTCCCTCCAGTCCCAAGGGAGGCTTCCCTTCTCCAAGCCAGCACAAATTGGGTGGCAGCCTTTTTAAACGGCCATTTGGGGGGCCCTCTTGGGAAGGTCTGTGAAGTGTAGGGGCCCAGAGAAAAGCAGAGCTGCCCTCTTCTGAGCTTAGACCAGAACTAAGCGTGGGTTGGGGGGTCCTTGCACCCCTCTCCCTTTGAAGTTTCTTGGGGCAACCAGAGGGAACAGAAACAAGCACCACTGCCCCCTCCCCAACCCAGGCAGCCTGGGCTGATGTGGAACAAAGTTGGAGGGAAAGCTGGGGGATCGGATGGGGGCATTTCCGGGTCTTTCGTGGAGACGGGAGTGAAAGCTGGCCAGGATTAAAGAACCGGAATCCTCACTAACCGGCTCCAGGTTCCTTATTTCTCCTCTCTGGGTTTAGGGTTAGAGCCTGTTTATGTATTCTCTCCCCCTCTTTCTCTCCCTGACTCTGAGTTTCTTCCAAATTACAGAGGTCTGTAGGATTCCCAGGTGCTGGTTTAGGGGCAGGGGTAAAGTTTGAGGAAGAGTAAGTGGGGAGTTTCTCTCCTTTTCCCAAGTAAAGGCTTTCCTAGGGCTTGTTTGGGCTCTGGGTAAGTAGAAGCCTACAATTCGTAGGCATGAAAATGATTAAGAAGCACTGTTTTTCAGGGAAGGATCAGACTTGGGCCAAAATCTAGTCCCTCTTCCTCAACCCTCCAAGTTAAGACTCAGGCTGCCCATTTTGAGGAGGGGACTTCCCCCAGTGGCAGCTGCAGCACCTGGAGGAGGAATATGGGGGTCCCCAACCGTGTGTCCCCACAGTCCCTCCCTCGATGGTTCCTACAGGCGGTTCTCTGTGCAGCGCTGTGCCCGCTGCCACCTGGGCATCTCCGCCTCAGAGATGGTGATGCGGGCTCGGGACTTGGTTTATCACCTCAACTGCTTCACATGCACCACGTGTAACAAGATGCTGACCACGGGTGACCACTTCGGCATGAAGGACAGCCTGGTCTACTGCCGCTTGCACTTCGAGGCGCTGCTGCAGGGCGAGTACCCCGCGCACTTCAACCACGCCGATGTGGCGGCTGCGGCAGCTGCAGCCGCTGCAGCCAAGAGCGCAGGGCTGGGTGCAGCCGGGGCCAACCCACTGGGTCTTCCGTACTACAATGGTGTGGGCACGGTGCAGAAGGGGCGGCCGAGGAAGCGCAAGAGCCCTGGCCCCGGGGCGGATCTGGCGGCCTACAACGCTGGTAAGTGCGAGGCGCACTGAGCGCCCCCGTCGGGCTGCGGGAAAGTGCATGGTGTCCACCCCCACAAGCCAGAATGACTCTTGGTGTGCTGTACTTATACGTATATATACAGCACGGTGGATACACTGTCCCTTAACTTTCCCAGGCCCTAAGCACCATCCAACCTGGCTGGAGGGACCTTAGCCTCCTAGACTCTAGCTCATATGCCCTCGGCTGGAGCAGGACCAGAGGGTGCTTTATAGTGTTTTGCTGCCCCTGTGCTGGGCCACGTCGCTGAGAAATTTTTTTAGAGGTTTTTTGGTTTGGGCCTTACCCTCACTTTGCTGGTCAGAAAGTAAGTACAGTGATAGAAAAAGCAAGGTGGAACCCACATCAAACAGGCTCTGGGTTTGCGCGGCTGAGGGTGGGAGCTGGGGTGATGGATGCGCCGGGCATGGCAGCAAGGGACCCAAGAGAAAGGACTAGCAGTGGCCCGGGGCACTGAGATCGGCTTGGCATTTGGCCGGTCCCGTGAAATGTCCTGAGCGTGGCAGGCTCAAGGAAACTTGGACCCAGGAGCCCTTTGACCAAGGGTGGGTCGTTGTAAATGGCCTGATCCCTCTGCTCTGCCTGGTCTCGGTTTTCCCCGGGCTCATTCTCGGGGCGCCAGCAGGGCGCTGGGATGAGATCCTGGGCCCTCGGAAGCCGGCGCCTGGGGATGAGACTGGTGTAGGCCTGGCTTTGCGCCGGGTAGGCTGAAGGGCTCGTTTAGCATTTCCGGCGTCTTTGAACCCTAGCCCGTTCCAGGAGAAGTTCTGGCCCCCTCTCGTGCTCCTCCCGGCTCAGGACAGCTGCGAAGGTTCTGGGGCCCGGCAAATTGAACCGTCAACATCTGCCCAAAGTCTGCATGGTCGGAGAAAGGTTTATGACTCCCTGGGCTTCTGAACTAGATAGAGTTTATTTGCAATTATTTTCTTTCTTTCGTTTGTGACAGAATCAGATTCAGAGATTTTCCTTCTTCCTTTTCCCCTTAGTCTAATGCACAAGTGGAAACAAAACAAAGCAAAACAAACCCAGAACTGTGTGGTGGGGAAGAAGTCGGGGTTATTTTGATCCTTAAAAGCCTGAGCTGGCTGCGGAGAAAACTAAGGTGCGGATGGGGTTCCCCTATTCGCTCCAACGAAATTGCTTGTTGGAAGATCGTGGGACCTGGGTATTTCAGGGTCTGAACTGAGAGGAAAGTGCAGCCCCCCATCTGATAGATGGCGAAGTGGCCACAGGCAGGTCCGCGCTGGCGGATTATAGATTTGTTGAAGGCTCTACCAGGCATACCGCTCTCCACAACTTCCCTTCCTCATCTCCCACCACCCTGAAAACAGACTAAACGGAGTCCAGACCAGGTCCCCCAAACAAAGCCTCGCCTGTTTATCAAGTGGGGCCTGCCTCTGTGGGAAGCAGCAGGGACCCGCTACAGGGCACTCGGAGGGTGGGGAGCGGGTGCTTTCCGAGTACGCAGGTTCGCAACTGGGTTTGGAATTGAGAGGTAGAGGGTTCAGAGATTTATTTGTGCTTTTCGCTGTTCAGCCACCTTTCCGGGTGAGGCCCCAAGCTAGGAGACGTGGCTGGAGGCTGAGTTTCAGGGGAGCTGGCACCTTTACAAGACATTCCCCACCCCTGTCGTCTCCTTTTCTCTTTGGCCCCTCTCTCTTTTTTTTCCTTTCCGCGCTCTCTGTTCCCCTTTCTCTGCCACTATCTCCTCGTGTGTCTCCCTGTTCTCTGTTCCCCTCTTCCCTCTCCCCTGTTAACGTCTCTGGCCTAGCTTGGCCGGGCTTCCTGTACTGCTAGAAACCGCGCGCTCGCGGGCGCGCGGTGTCTGTGAGGCTCGCTTCTTCGGGGCTCCCGGGGCCAGGCTGGGAAACAGGGCGCTTCCTTGCCCGCACCTCCCCGGCCGGGCCTCCTCGGGTCTGGCTGCTGTCCTCTTTTCTTCCCTCTCGGCACCGGCGGGAGACAAACGGCAGCAGTGTGGGCCGCGGGGCGGCAAGGACTGGAAAAAGGGGACCGTAGGGAGTGCGGCTGCGGGCTGTGTGTACGGGGCAAGTGTCCGTGTGTGTTTCCGACTGTGAGGATAGGAGCCTGTTAGTGCGAGTGTCCCGCACCCAGGGGCTCAGCCAGACCGACCCCTGCAAAGCCCATCTCTCTGGGAGACAGTGAGGGAGGAGCGGCTGCACCGTGTTACAGCGCGGGGAGCTCGGGCCGAGTTGGGGAGGGGGCGCCGTCGGTGCGCCGAGCCCGCGGCCGAGCAAAGGGCAGCTGGACCCGCGGGGCCGCAGGTCGGAAAGTCCTTCCGGGGCGGTAGCCACGGCGGCCCTCCTCTGGCTGTCCCTCTGGTCCGAGAGCGCAGCCCCGGTCCCGGAGGCGGAACTGAAACCTCCCCGCAACCGTGAGCGGGGCCGCCCGCGGGCAGGGGTAACGGGCCAGGTGGCCAGAGCCCGCGAGGGGTCCAGGCCGCGCACTGTGCGCCCGGGTCAGAGCGCCACGGCCGCCGGAGTCCCGCGCGGACTTGCCGGACGCCCGGGCCTCCCCCAGCCCCAGCTTTTTGTGTGTGTGTGCCTGGCGGCGTAATTACTGATTTGATTCCAATCCATTATTTAGACAATTGAACCTACAATCTTGTCTTTAGTAAAATGAGGCGAAGTCAGATTTGATTACAGGTTCAGTCCCAGCGACAAGAGCTCGAAACCCGATGGGTTAATAACAGATCACGAGTAAATTATTCATGATTTTACGAGCTCTTTAGCTCCATTGAATCGGCCTAATTGAGAGGAAAAAAAAATAAAAAAGAGAGAAAGCCCGGTCCTCCCCCTCCCCTCGGCCCCATGCTCCTCCCCGGATCCGATCCTGGGGAATCTCGACCCGCCCCGGCACAGGGGGCCCGGAGTGAGGGGGCCTGGGGCACCGGCCAAATCGGGGCCCAACTGCCATTTCCCCCGCCGCCTCGTTCCCCCGCGTAGCCCCCTGCCCCCACTGTTGGCCGGCCTCGCCTCCCTACCTTGGGCCCACTCCTTTTTCCCCTTCCCTCCTTTTCCTTTTCTGCACTCGCGGCAAGTAACGGCTTCAGAATAGACCACCCCACAGGGACCTGGTCTCCTTGAGACCCGGGATTCAGTTCAGTAACCTGGACCCTCCACCACACATCCCCCCTATTTCTGGGCTTCACTGTCCCCGCGGGCCCTCCCAGTGTCTCTCCTGATTTCCGTCTGTCTTTGTAGCTGTCTCTCTCTGGTTCTCCCCATCTCCCCTGCTTTCTTTTCCTCTCTTCTTTCTGCTCTTTCTTTCCTGGCTGTGTCCATCTTCTCTTCCTACCCTCTCTCCTTTTCTCTCTCTTCACTCTCTCAGTCTTTCTATCTCTATCTTTTCTCTCCTTTCTCTACCCTTTCTGTCTCCCTCCCCCAAGCCATCTCCCCCAACTCTAGGCCGACCTCAGGGCACATCCCTTGGGTGCATGGGGCGCCGGGGTCCCCATGGAGCTCATTAACAGCAGCGCAGCCCAGGCAGAGGCTGGGCGAGGGATGGGCCCAGCGATCCCCTGTGGGGAGGCCTGCCCCACCCCCAATGGAGCTGGGGACTGGGGGCAGGAAGAGGGTGGCTCCCTTGAAGAGGGGGAAGGGCAGTTTCCATGGATTCCGTTTGGAGTCATTTTCTGATTCTCTTTAAATTGCTGGACCCTGTGCTTCACTCTGGGCATTGTCAGCGGGAGTACGGTCCGGGTGGGGGACTTGGGTGCCTGGGTGAGACCTATGGGAGGGGACCCTTAGGAGGTGTAGCCTCTTACTGACAGCTCTAAGATTAGGGACAAGACCCGCATCTTGCAAATTCTTTCTGCAAGGGGCTATTCCCATCTGGGTAGAGGAAGGAACAGGTCACCAGGAACGCTCCTGAGCGAGTTGTCGGATAAAATGCAGGACGCCCCGTTAAGTTTGAATTTTGAGTAAACAACAAATACATTTTTAGTGTAAGTGTGTCCCATTTAATATTTGAATTTTAAATAAACAACGAATGTTTTTTTCAGTGTAAGCGTATTCCGGGTAGTATTTGCATGTTACGTAAACAACAAATAAATTTTTAGTATGGGTATGTTCCGTGCAATATTTGAGACATATTTATACTAAAAAAAAATTGTTCATTGTTTACCTGAAATTCAGCTATAACTGGGCAAAATATTTGCTAAGTCTGGCAGTTCTGCTGTGGGCATGTGATGGGGCACCAGGTACATTCCCAGTTGCCCACTTTGGGGGGACTGAATTAATCTCTGAGGCTCTCCCCAAAGACAGACCTCATGTGTGTGATGGCTCCGGATGTGACGAGGGGATCTTGGAGAGGGATCCTGCCTGTCCCAATCAGCCGCCAGGTTGCCAAGCAACTTTCTGAGGCCTGAGGTTTCAACTCCTGTCCCCAACCCCCAGTGCCTTCCAGGCATTGGCAGCCAGGCCCCAGCTGGGCCCCTTCTGGATGGGGATGGGTTCCCCAAAGAGTGATGCTTCATCTTTGCCTGCCTTTGTGATGTAGTGGAAAGAAAAGGCAAGGACTACGGTGGTGAATCTAGGCTCAGCCATTACCAGCGGTGCTCGTGGCTTCATTTCCCTTAGGGTTAGTTTCCTCGTCTGTAAAATGGGGTGAATAGCAATTGCCACCCATTGAACAGTAGTGAAGGCCGTTGAAGTATATAAAGCCAAAGGCATACCCTAGGTGTCAAATACATGTTAATTTTTTCCTCTGAGTTCCTTCCCTTTCCTGCTAGAACTCTGCCAGTCTGTGAGATTTCCAAAGATGGCTTAACTTCCTTGTGTCCTTCACCCCGTTGGTAAAACTGGGCAACCACCTCCCCATAGGGCAGCAGCGAGGATTATACTACCAAATATACTATCTGACCCCTAGCCCAGTGCCCGAAGCCCAGAAGTCCATACAGTACTTTTGGGCGTAGGAACTGATAAGGGCCAAATGAAAGCAAGTGGAGAGAAGTGAAAGTCAGTTAGCGACTCTCAGGGGCCTCCCCCGACACTGTTGGGGGTGGGGGAGACTCTGTGATGGCCCCTCCGTCGGAAGTGCGGCGGAGAAGCTGGAGGATCCTGGGCTCCGGAGTCCCTGCGGTGCTGGATCCTCAGTCAAGTGGCTTCCCTTTCTGAACCTCAGCTTCAACGTCAGTAAAAAAGGCAAAAATACCGCCTGACTCATAGGGTTGTTTTGAGGATTCAGTGGAAATGTGCCTGTGAAAGCCCTTTAACACATCCTCGGTAGTCAAATAAGCCACCAAGAGATTGTAATGGTAGTTGTTATTAATCATATTATTATTTTAACTTGGTGGCTCCAAATGGGTTTCCTAGAGCTGGGTTTGAATCCAGCATTTCCCAGCTGAGCGACAGGTCACTCTCCCCGGCCTCAAAGTCCCTTATAAATCTATAAATGGGGATAATCTCTCTATCTCAGTGTGGTCCCAAGGCTGGAAACGTTTTTTGACGGGTGGAGGGGGTGTGGACTGGAGGGGGTGGTGTGGGTGGGGGGGTGGGTGGGGAGAGTGTGTGTGTGTGGGTCTCGGCGGCGAGTCAGGAGGATCACCTGCCTCCTCTGCGTCCCCTCCTTAGCACTGAGCTGCAACGAGAACGATGCGGAGCACCTGGACCGCGACCAGCCCTATCCGAGCAGCCAGAAGACAAAGCGCATGCGCACTTCCTTCAAGCACCACCAGCTTCGGACCATGAAGTCTTACTTTGCCATTAACCACAACCCCGACGCCAAGGACTTGAAGCAGCTCGCGCAAAAGACGGGCCTCACAAAGCGGGTCCTCCAGGTCAGCTGGGGCCCGAGCTGTGGGTGGGGGCATCTGTGGCTGCCAGGCTCTGGTGCAGAACCGCACAGCAGGCTGTTACGCCTTGGGAAGATCTTCCTTCCTGTGCCTGCCTTTCTCTTTGTTTACCTTCCTCTGTTCTCTTTCTCTATTTCTTCAGCGTGTCTTTTTCCGTATTTCAATCTTTTTTTCTACTTTTACATCTCCTTCGATTTTTATCTTCAATTTTTTTGTGTATTCCTCTTTCCTCTTTGTCTCTACACTCAGTCTCTTCTTTCCTGTAAACAACTCATATTTGCTATTTATTACTCAAGCGACACTCATATGTGCTCACATTGTAAAAGGTTCAAACATTTTACAGAAGTCCAGAGCCCCCCATGCCCTTGACCCCTCATCCCAGGAGGCCCATGCAAGGCAACCTCTGTTAGCTGTTAGTTCCTTCTGCAGAAGCAAGGTGTTGTGAGCGGGTAGATGTGGGCAGATGCCCTGGGCGGCTGATGCGCCCCCCCCCCCGGATCTGCCCGCAGGGTGCTGGCGGAAGTACACGGAGGGACACCTCTGAAACTGAACAGAATGGCACGTGCCTTTGAGGGTGCTTTCTTTTTAAATAGCATTCATCAGGGCTGACACTGGTTAAAACATTATATAGATTTCAGGTGTACAAGTCTAACTAAGAGGGTGCTTTCTTAATAGAGTTGATCTCGAGCCTTCACCAGATTTTCAAAGGATCTGGCCATCATCCTAAAGATGTTAAAAACTCCAGTTTGGGGAGTTCCAGGTTCCAGCACAGCTCAGACTGGCGGCAGAGCCTTGAGTCAACACTTTTCAACTCTCCAGCTCCTCCTTTTACTTACTGGGCAAGTGGCTGACCTCCCCTGAGCCTCAGTTTCCTCATATGTGAAACAGACACACACAAATTACCTAGCTGCAGGCTTATTGGAAGAACCATTCAGATGATGTTAAGTGTCTACCACAGTGGCTGACGCTTAACTGCCCAGCGGGAATAGGATTAACTGGATTAATCAACTAATATTAACTAGTATGAAGGATTATTTGGTTGCTGCACTTCAGTGTCCCCACTCATACAATAAGGTAGGAGAATATCCCCCTTTTTAGCAAGTCTAACCTATTTATTTCTCAAAATGTGTGGCTTTAGGGATAGCAATGCATATTTTGGGGGGATGAAAATTGACAGATGAAGTGATCCTGTCTCACAATGGGAGGGGAGGTGCTGGGATTCGAGTCTAGGCCAGTCTGGCCCACTCTCTAGCCCCAGGTCGTCAGGGATTGAGGGGTGGTGCAGGGGGAGGTGACACTGAGGTGGCAAAGAGGTCTGTGCGGCCGTTCTAAGTTTCCCTGCGACTTTGTCAGGTAAAAAGAAAAAAGGAAAAACAAAGCATTTTGGGGTGACGGAGGCGGAGTTGAGATAGGACCGTGATACGGGTGAGGGTCCGAATTCTCTGGGGAGCCCGGAGTCTGGGGCAGCTTTGTCTCTGGGGGCGCCCCCCCCATGGCGGTGACGTAACGAGGGTTGGCCAATAGGATGCTGCTGCGCCTCTGGGCCCGCCCACCGCCCCTAGCGCTCCTCCGCGGGCCCTGCGCCTCCTGTTGGGTCCGTTTTGCCTGGGGGTCCCTCTGGCTTGGGCTCCAGACGGGCAGTAGGTTGCTGCACCCGTCAGGGTCTCCGACCCCCCTCATCTGTTTCCCTTGGACTTTACCTTCTTGGGGTTAGGTCGGGGGACCTTCCTTGGCACTCCCTCCATTCCTCAGCCCTGAGCAACTTTGGACAGAGGATCCGAGGCCTCTCCCTTTTCTCTAGTTAATAGGATACTTTATCCCTTCCCCTATCTAGAGTCCCTTACCGCGTGTTGGCGGGGACAGCTTTGTGAGTCAGCCCTTGCAAGCAGGCTGGGACAGTAGCAGGGACCTGGAGTCGGGCAGAGCTGGGTTCAGGGAGACCTGGGTTGGATTCTGCTCCTCTAGTCACTGGCTGTGTGTCTTGGGCAAACTAGTTAACCTCTCTGATCCATAGCTTTGTAAAATGGGCACCCTTAGGGCACATACTTCTCTTAGTTACCCAGATTAAGTGAAATAGAGTAAGTGCCCATAGCTGAGTCTGAATCTGGAACTAGCAGGAACCAGTCTCTGCTGGTCTTGGTGAGGCAAGGGGCTTGGGTATGTGATTTAGGAGCACATCAGATTTTCAGCATAGTTATTTCTCATTCTTTCATCTGACCAAATATCTATTAGCCCCAGGCCCTGGGGATACAGAGGTGAATGAACCACAGTCCTGGTCCTGAAGAAAATCGCCTGTCGGGTGTAGAGACAGACCCACATTCAGTTTATCGTCGTATGATCCATTGCGGGGATTGTTCTGTGTGAGACCAAGGGAGGGACCGACTACTCTACGTGTGAGGAAGGGCTCACCCAAGGAACCTGTGTGAGTGCTTGCCCTGTCCCCTTCCCTAGAATCCTGAGCCTGCATGCCCCCTCTACCATGGGGACTCAGAAAAGCCAGAGGCACCGAACTAGCTGAGGGAGAAAACACTGAGAGTTATCGTGCGTCTACTAATCAATACATGTTTATTTGCTCTATTACATGTCAGGCCCTTTGAAAGACCTGTGCAGTGCATTTGCCCATTGAGTCCTCACTGTCAGGCATTGTGATCCCTCCACCCCCACTGCCCAGATGAGAACATTGAGGCCCAAATGATTTCCACTTGTCCCAAGTCACACTTTGCTATAAGTATCAGAGCTGGATCCAAATCCAGTCCCATCTGATCAATGGGCTTGGCTCTTTTCCTTTAGGCCAACCCAGCAGTGACTACTTCAGAGCGTGAGTATCATTTAGGGCAGAGGCGCTCACACGTGTAAGGCATACCAGACCACTTCCTCCCTCCTCCCAGGCTGCACAAATCCTTAATATTCCTTAGCAGCACCGCTGCTCATGATTATGCAGTAGTTTGCAAAACATTATTTTTCCAGTCACTTACTTGAATACTTTCCTGCCCATTTTATAGATGAGAAGCTTAAGACCTAGTGAGATGAAGTGATTTGCTTGAGGTTACAGGAGCCAGGCGTTGGCAGGGTCTGGGCTCTTTCCCAGGTGGCCTAACTGCTTCTGATGGGCCAGCTAGCGGAGAAGGGATGGGAGCCGGTTTGGGTGAGGCAGTGTGTCTTTGGAAGGTGACAGACTGGTTCAAATCCTTTCTAACTTACCAGCAATGTGGTTTGGGCACTTTAACTTCTCCTCTCTGAGCCTTATCTGGGAAATAGAGGTGATAATAGTTTTCACCTTGAGGCTTCTTTAGGATTCAGAGATGAATGGGAAGTGCTCCAGCATGGTGCGTGCTGGTCCAAAGCTGGTTCCTGTGAAATGGTTCCTCATCACCTCTCTCCACCAGCTGAATGGTGCTGGGCCTTGGGTGCCCCCTGCAGGTTGTGGTCCACCTTGACCCTTCAGAGAGAGTGCATGGCAGGGGCAGGTGGAGGTTGAGGCTGTGCTCTCAGAGGTGGATTATGTAGGATGTGTATGTGTGTGTGTGCATGTGTTTCCAACCTGTTAGCGAATCTTAATGCATGAGCACCACCAACATGGGAGTCCTGGGATGCACCATGTCTGCTGAAATTTGGAGTCAGTTCATGTGAGGTCCAGACTCAACTCTCCGAGCCTCAGTGGCCTCAGCTATAAAGTGGAGGTAATAATAGTACGCCACTAGGTGGTTGCAAGGAGTAAATGAGATAAAGTGTAATTTATAAGGTGTATATTCGGGACTCAGTGCATGTTAAATTCACAAACATTGACATAGCAGGATTCAGCCTACCAATCTCTTTTGCCCTCATTAAAAAAATTAATTATCTTCATTTTGCAGATGAGGAGAATGAAGTTCAGAGGGCCTAGACCCTTGACTCACAGCTAGGAAGTGATGAAGCCAGGGTCTGATTCCATAGCTCTTTCCAATGAAGCACAGTGCAGGGATTGGGACACCCCCCTCCTTGGATCTAGTTGCAGAATGCAGCAGAGTAGAGAGGGCGAGTGGGTCAGAGATGCCATGTCTTGGTAGGAAAGCAGGAATCCTGTTGTGAAGCCATGCTGCATAAAAAGTGCTGAAATTTGTCATCTTTAGCAGCATGAAAACCATAATACTGACTTTCCGTCAGTGGGCAAGGTGACCGGGAGACAGAGTAGCCCCCTTGGACAGAGATCCATTAAGACATTAGGCTTTGCAAATGCTTGGAGACCATTCCTCAGCACATCAGTGCCTCTCTAGGCCGCCTCCCTTCCTGGGGGTGGGGGTGGCACACAGGCAGAATGCTAAGATGTCCTGGGCTTGGAGACAGGGGTGGTGAGCTGATTGAATTGGATGGGTGAAGGCCTCCATAGAGGTTCCTGGTGTGCCTTTGAAGGGAAATAGATTTTAACCACCAACAGTTTAAAAACATCTTTGGGATGACGAGTTAGTCATCATTAATCTGTGTGAGAACTCAGGAGGTGAGAACGCTTGCTTTCCCCTGTTTACTTGCTTATTCAACAAATGCACTGGCCTTCTGCCATGTTCTGGGTGGGACAGGAGGCCCTGAGGACTCAGCAGTGACCCAGCGAGTGAGTAGGCCCCGCTGGAATGTGCACTACAGAGGGGAGACAGAGGCACAACAAAGTGTTATAGAAATAATTAAAGTGGTGATAAAATTAATCTCTATTTTTCTCCATATATGAACTATCTCATAATAAAAATATTTTTAAGTGGTCTTGAGACCAGATAAGTTTGGGAAATGATAAAGGTTAACTGTGTCTTTATCTTGGAGATCAGAACCACGTTAGCATGAATACAGGCATTGAGAAATCTTAATGAGATTCAACTTGGTCGAATCTAACGTTTTCCAAATTTATGTGGCCACGGAACCCTTGTTTAACTTTTGACATAAATAAAATAGAAGAGCCCTGGCCAGTGTGGCTCAGTTGGTTGGAGCGTTGTTCTGTAAACCAAAAGGTCATGGGCTTGATTCCCAATCATGGCACATGCCTAAGTTGCAGGTTTGTCTGTGGCCCTGGCAGGGTGTGCACGGGATCGATGTTTCTATCACAGCTCAGAGAGGTGGAGTGACTTGTCCAAAGCTCCACAGCAGAGTAGTTGTACTCCTGGGCTGGATCTAGGGTTCATGACAGCCAGTCCAGTGCTTATTATTTTTGGTTCCTTAAAGCCTTTTAAAATTGTATAGAATAATAGAACCACCATATAGACAGGTTAGAAAAATAAGAAAAAAAAAACAAACAAACCATGTAAGAGTACAGGAAACCAGTAATCCAGGTGTACAGTTTAGAGGTTAAGTAGTGAGTAAGAGCACAAACCTAGCCTTCCAAAATTCACATCTCAGCTCCTCCTCTTTGGTTGGGCTCTGTGCCTCAGTTTTCTCACCTGGCAATAATATTAGTGCCTACTTTTTAAGGCACTATTATGAGTTAATATGTGTAAAATGCTTAGAACTTTGCTAAGACAGTGCCTGACACTTAGTGAGTGACTAATACTCATCATCATTATTTTTATTATGACGTTTCAATACATCTTACTTTTTTCCCTCACATAACATTTGTCAGACATTTCCTCCTAGACTGGGTGGAGTGGCTGTGTCATGACTTCCACTTGTCCCATCTGGTGGGACACTTTGGATGCAGCCATTAGTTTGATGTTGTAAAAAAAAATAAATAAATAAAAGAAAAGAAAAAGCCACAGTGGATGTCTCTGGACATGAGACTTTTACCTTTCATCTGGTTTTCTCAGAGACCCAGGAGGGGATATGTGGGGCTAAGCAGGTTTCTCGCTGGCCTTCCTGCTCTCCTTGATGAAAGAATCCTGGGGAAAGGGATTTGTGAGGCAAAACAGAGCCTGCAGGGCCAGTTGGTGCCTGAGGGGGAGGGGCACACGGCAATGCGGGCTTCCTCATCCACCCAAGACTCAGAGGGGTTGCCCAGCGCACCTGGCCAGGCACCCCCACAAATGAAGAGAGAGGGCTGGCAGTTCCAGCTGCCCTGGAATCCCAGCCTGTTAGAACCCCAGGAGGTCATAGCGATCGCGTGGAGTGGTCTAACCCTCTTGCTGTACAGCTGGAAAACCGAGGTCGGCACAGGTAAGGGACTCACCCAAGGTCACCTTGCTGGTCAGCAGCAGAACCAGAACTGGAAGCTACATCCAGTGTTCTTTCCGTGGTACCACAGTTGCTTACTCTGTTCATTCATTCATTTCTTCATTCGCTTGCTGACTCTCACATAGCTATAGGTAGTCGGGAGAACATGGGCTTTTTATGGCAGATAGTCCCAGATTCCTGGATTCTGATCTCAGATTGGCCTCTGTGTGACCTTGGGCAAGTGAATTCACTTCTCTGAGCCTGTCTGGCTTTAAATCTGTAAAGTGGGGGGATACTGATAGTAGCACCCCCTACTTGGCTTATCATAGAGGTCACCTTGTGACTGCGTGTTAGATGGTGGTGTGATGGTGGTGGTTAGATGGTGCTATTAACTCAATGCATGTTACTAATTCATCTTTGCCAGTCCCTGTGCCATGTCCCCAGGGACGTGACGATGATTCGGACAGGGTCCACGTCCCAAAAACCACTTGGGAGGGGACTTTTTGAAATACTTGGGAGAGAATTCTGGTGAACCCCTGCTTAAGGTGAAAAGCAAACCCAACAAACAAACAAAAAAAACCCCACAACAACAGAGAAATAGCAAACAGCTGGCGGCTAACCAGCCGGTTCCAGTCCTTCCTGAGGGCTTGGACCCCTGGACCCAAGAGCCACTCGTCACCCCCAGGGCTCCTTGTTCTAGCTGCTGCTGGGTCAGACAGACACACAGGCCAGGACAGTGGCAAATGTTGGCACCAAGGCTCTAGCCTTCCTCGTCTGACCTGCCATGAGGCAGGGGAAGTCACTTCCTCTCTCTGAGGGCCTGTGGGGCTTTCTCCATCCGTTTTCTGTTTTCTCCATTAGCCATTCCCCAGACCAGCCAGAAAGTCTCACCCCTGCAGAGTTCTGAGGCTGGGTGAGGAAGGACCTCCCCACCACAAGGAGAGCATGTGGAGGGTGGGTTAGAAGCAGTGGACCTATTTGCAAGCCTCCAAGAGGTGATGGAAGGTCAGGGAAAATGTGCTTTCTTCCTGGGAAGATGCAATGTGTGGGGAGAGAGCTTTGTTTCCTGACTTCACATGGTCCATGTCTCTCTCCTCACTCCAGGATTCTGGCGACTGTGCTTTTAATTGAGCCCAAATTGTATTAGGGCCACCTAAAATGAGGGTGTGAAGCCACGGGCCCCTGTAGCTGGGGTGGTCCCCAGGGGAGGGTGGGATCAGGCATCGGCCCATCCCACCCGCCTGAGACACTGGGATGACAGGCAGATGCAGGCACATCTGGAAATTTGCAACTGGACACCCGAGAATCTGCAGAATCCCCCAAGGCCCTGTGTTTTATGGGGAGGCTTCTGGCGGGTGTTTTCCTCACGCAAAGGGAAGTGAGGGGGCCTGGCCTTTTGGGCTTCTTTCTCTGAGAGATATAGCCCTCCCACCCTACCCCCATCCCCACAGTGGCCTGGGTTTCCTAGGCCTTTGAGAATTCCTGGGTGCAGCCAGATCTCTGTGCAGTTCTGTGGTGGGCATATTTTGGCGTGTGGAGGTGCTGTATAGATGAGTTCCATGCTTGTCTTCATGAGTGTGTACAGGCTTGTGTGCAAAGGTGTGGGTGTGGATGGGAAGATAAAAGTAAACCCTTATTCTGTCCCTTTATTTTTTCATACCAAGCTCAGCTCCAACTGTGTGACCTACCACGCCTCTCTGAGGGCGGCGGCAGGCTGGGAATGGGAATCCGCCGGTCACCGCCTGCTTGGCCTGGCTGTACGCTGGCAGCTGTTCCCACCCTGAAACCCAATGGTCCAAGATATCAGTGGCTTCTCCAGCCAGTGGTGGTGGGGAGTGGGATCAGTGTCTTTTTCTTCCTTTTAGTAATTCTTTATTGACTGATTCCTGTGTTCTTTACACCATTCTAGTATTTCCCAGACTTAGTGACCCTGAAACACATTAAAAATTGTGCCAACAAGAACGTGTGGGATCTATTGTGTGCCTAAAGGCGACTGCTGAAAATAAACGACTCTCTCAACCGTTGTGAAAAACAATCAAGATTTGGTTGGAACGAATCTTCCAGAACAGCGCTGTCTAAAAGAAATGCAACATGACCACATATGTAATTTTACATTTAAAAATTTCTAGTAGCCACGTTAAAAAAGCAAAAGGAAAGTGATAAAATTAATTTTAAGAATATATTTTGTTTAGCCCAGCACAGCCAGCAGATTATCATTTAAACATGTAACCGTATAAAAATTACTATTGAGATGTTCTACTTTCTTTTTTTTCATATTATATCTTCAAATGGCCTGTGTGTTTTCACCTATAGACTAGCTACATTTGGGCTATTCAGGTATCAAGTGCTCAATAGCTTTATGTGACTAGTGGCTACAATATTGGAGAATGTGGCTCAGCTCTGGAACCTTCCAACAGAAAGGGAAACCCAGTAATAGCCAAGGAGAGAAAAGGGCATTTTTATTTTATTAAGAACAAAATATAGCCAGCCCGAATTTTTATTATTCCCCCGGAAAAACACTGATTAGCCTCTCTGAATTAAATAGTCCGAGGGAAATGCTCTGCTCTGCTTTCCTCCCTGCCTGCCTTTCCCTAACCAGCCCTTCCCTCTCGCCCTGCACAGGTCTGGTTTCAGAATGCCCGGGCCAAGTTCAGGCGCAACCTCTTACGGCAGGAAAACACGGGTGTGGACAAGTCGACGGAGGCGGCGCTGCAGACAGGGACTCCATCGGGGCCAGCCTCGGAGCTTTCCAACGCCTCGCTCAGCCCCTCCAGCACGCCCACCACCCTCACAGACTTGACTAGCCCCACCCTGCCAACTGTGACGTCCGTCTTAACTTCTGTGCCTGGCAACCTGGAGGGCCACGAGCCTCACAGCCCCTCACAAACGACTCTTACCAACCTTTTCTAATGACTCGCGCCCCCCCCCCCCATTTGCCCCACAATTTCTTTAAAAAAGAAATTATCTTTAGTTGAATTCCAAGTGTATTTTAAAATAGAGGCTTTGAGCAACTAACTAACCACATTTTAGGATCTCGCCTGGAAACAGAGGAAGACAATAATTGTGTGTCCGGCTAACGCAGCGGTGTGGACTGAGGAATTACTTGGAAGATCTATCTGCAACACAACATTTGTGTCATTGTACAGTTTTGTGGACTGAGCGAGGAAAACAACAAATAATTTAAGTTGGCTAGAGCTTCTGTATTTTCAAAGACTGCCACGTGCCTTAGGAATACTGTTTTATCTCCATACTTTGGACGACTTGTTCATTTTTCTCTCCCTCTTTTTCTCTGTATATTTATGACCAGAGCAAAAATGTAAAAGAAAAAAAAAAGTTTGTTACTTTGAATAGTCCTTAAAAGAAAAAAGAAAAAAAAAAAAGGAAAAATCAAACCCCCTCCAACGGTCGCTTTGTTGTTTTAGAATTTTAAGGTGGAAGTCTGTTCGAATATCAGAATTTGTAAAATCTAACCAGTAATAAAACCACTTATTGAAACTAGTTGGTGCGGCTGCTATTTAGTTGGGTATGAAATTCATATGACATAAGAGTCTTAATCAAGCCTAGAAGTAAATTCCAGGGTCTTCCCTTATTTATACTATTTATAGCACTTTCTACATATTTATAATATTCATGGGGCCCCTCTTCTGTGCCAGGCTTTGGGCTGCTTGTCAAGATCCAGAGATGAGGTCCCTGCCCGCAAGGGATTCAGAGCGGAGGCAGAGACAAGAGATCATCTCAACACCCGAGACGTGGGCCTAGTGAAGGGTATGTAAACAAGATACCATTCATTCATTCATTCGAATATTAAGTATGCTCTGCTGGATACTTGCACTATTGAGGTCAAAGGTCATCGCATCTGCTTTTTCTGCTCTTCTCTGGGCTGGAAGAGGGTGTCGGGCAGTGAGAGAGGCCTTTCCCTCTGAGGAGTGAACACTGTTGCCAAAGGGCAGCTAAACCCTGGTTTTCTTAATGACACAAAATTTAAAAATCTCCCAAGAGGACAAAAGCAAATGAATTTGGATCCTTTACTGAAGTTTCAGTCAAACTCAGAAATCCAGAGAAAATACATAGCCAGAGAGGATGGAGGCTCAGAGGCAGGCAGAATGAGGTTATAGCCTGTACTGTTGAGCAGTGTGAGTTCAGGGGAGTCATTTCACCACTTTGGGCTTCAGCGTCCCCGGCTGGAAGACGAAGATAATGATCCTTACATGACAGTTGTAATGGGGGCAGAGTAAGGTATATTGAAGGGCCCAGCAGGGGACCTGGCATACAGTAGGGGCTTAATATGCTTTATTGAATAACGGGTGGCGTGATGAAATGTGGAGGTGGAGAGCAGGAATGTGTGTATCCAGGCACTGCCTGTCATTGCTGATGCATCAAGCAGGTGTGCTGTCTGTCCACTGGGCATCTTATGCCCCCATTTCTCACCCTGAGTCCTGCAGCATAGCACGCCGTTACCAGCTTCATTGAATGCTAACAGTTACCTAGCAAAACGTCCCTTAGCGGCCCATCAGTTTAAAAATCCAGAGGGAACATTGGAGCTACCTTGAGAAGACAGCCAGGAGAGGCTGGCAGGGGAAAATCCAGCCCAGGACCGGGTTCTCTCTCCCTCTGCCATCATGGCTGGGACAGGGTTGGGGAAGGGAATAGGGCAGGAATGGACTGAGCGCTTAAATCCTGGACTGACTCACTTTCTGAAATGTTAAACGCGCGTACACACATGCTATTGTTGCTATTATTATGTAATGCCTGGCAGATAGTAGGGTTTCAATACATGTTTTGTAGTCTTGGATATTGATGTATAATGTGCGTGAAGTGCACGTCTGAAATGAATAGCTTGAATAATGTTTTCCAAATGAATGTATTCATGTGACCCTCACCCAAATCAAGATATAAGACATTACAGCGCCCAGAGGGCTCCCTTGGGCCTCTCCCAGGGAACCTCTCCCAAGGCAGTACCTGATCTAACTTCTAGCCCCATGGGTTAATTTTATGTTTTTGGTCAATGCATTTTTGCTGAATGAATTCAGAATTGTCCCAGATTAGACATCCTGTGGGGAGTCAGGCAGGATTTGAATCAAGTCTTCCCACCTTCAGACTCCAAGCTCAAGCAGAAACATACATTCATAGTCACAGGGGTAAACACATGGGTTAGGAACCTCAACACGTCTACATGTTACATGCTGATGGCTGCATGAGAGAATGTGAGCACAGGGGCCGGCCTGTGGACGGCCTCACAGACATACCACGGCTGCAGGTACTCCCAGGGACTCCTCTGTGTGCCCAGAGACATGTTTGCGTGGACACTCAGAGGCATTCATGGATGAGGGGGAGGCCCACAGACTGAGGCGCTCACACCCAGACAGCCCCACACACAAACACACACAAATGCTCGCAGACAGACATAAACAGGCCCAGATGCTCACAGATCTATCTAGACAGACACCCAGACCACCCTGCCCAGGGAGACCTGCACACAGACCCAGACGTGCACACATGCAAATATTTGCAGGCACCCAGGCGCCCCCGCACAGCCTGGCTGTGCCCCTTGCTCAGGCCCGGACAGAGCCAAGTCCGATCCCTATCTCGTCTGTCAGCGCTGCCACCCAGATGGAGCAGGCCCTGGAAGGATGCCCAGGGGTCTCCCGCCGCCTACATGGGAGCATGTTGGGCCAGGGACGGGGGCGCTGTGGAGTAGGCATTGCCCTCCACAGAGCCAGAGACTGAGAGAGACACATGGAATGAGGGACTCAGAGAGTGACAGAGACAGGGAAATAGGGGGAGAGACAGAGAGATAGCGTCAGGGTCTGGGAGACAGGAAAAAGGTGGGAAACAAATGAAAAGGGACAGTGACAAAGATACACACAGAGGCAGATACAGACACACCACCAGTGATGAAGACACAGAGGGCAGAGAGAGAGACAAGAACAGTGACAGAGTAGTAAAGAGGCAGAGAGACAGGGGTAGGGACCAAGATTAAGGGACAGTGTCAAAGATACAAGGGGAGAGATGATGAGATAGAGAAAGAGAGATTGATATTAAAAAGAGAAGACTCAGCGGTAAAGGGACAGCCTGGGACAGACTCAGAGCTGAGAGAGGCCAAGACAGAGAGAGAGAGAGGTGGTTGCTTTGAGGCTGGTAAAGAGAGTCACTCAGAGGGAGAAGGTGAAGCCGAATGACAGGCAGAAATGAGAGACCCAGACTGAGGAAGAGACGGACAAAGGAGGGCGGCTGCTCAGTGGGGAAGGGCTGAGGCTGCCAGCTCACCTCTGTCCACTGACCACGGGAGTGGGGGAGAAGGTGCCACCTGTGGCTCCCAAGCACTAGCCCTGCCTCCCTGTACACTGGCTACAGATGGGACCAAGGAGCCACCTCTGAGACCCTTTGGACTCTGACATGCTGTGGAGATGGGGAGCTTCATGGTTCTTGGGACCCACACCCAGGCTTGGCTGTGAGTCAGTCTGTAGGGACTGGGGTTTTGAATGTGGCTTTCCCCTGTCATGTCCCACCCAATCAAGGCCCCTTTTCCCCAGTGGGGGAGTTCTGGGGAAGATGGAAGAGAGCTTACTCGGTCTTCCCTGAATTTTGACAAGGTCCCTAGCCACCCTGAGCCTCAGGATCTGAATCTGTAAAACAGGGCCAACAGAATCCACCTTGCAGTGCAGGGCACTGTTAGGATTCCCTGAGAGAATAAATAGGTGCTGCTTCATTGGGGGTTCGACTAAACACGAGGGGGCCAAGGAAGTCTGAGGAGTCATCTCGAGAAGTTGGGGAGAGTCTCCAAGGAGATGAAAATTGCAGTTGGATCTTGAACAAACCAAAGGCGACTGGATAGGGAAAGGAGCAGGGTGGGCGCTCAGGCAGAGCAAATACCCAGGGCACAGGTGAGGGGGTACAGCACACGTTCCGGAGTGAAGAGCGGTTTAATGGCTGGGGTTGCCCCTGGACAGATGGGTGAGGCTCAGCTTATGGACGACTGGAAATATCCACTGCAACTTGGTCCTGGGGCCCTTGGGGAGCTCTGACCCCCATTCTTCCCTAGGCTGCAGGCTCCCTCCCACTCCCGACACTGAGGATGGAGTTCCATGTGGCAGAACCAGCTTCCCGGAGAGGAAGTGTTTGCCTCTGTGGCCTGTGTGTCCTGCTGGCGACAGTGGACACCTCCAGGCTTTGTCTGCTAGCTGAGGCCCCACAGACAGCCACCCTGGTTCCTCTGGCCCCCGGGGAACACTATGACTTCATAGCCCTTCAGAGCTTCCTTGCCACCTTTCCCCTTCTGTCCTTCTCTCCTTGGCCCTGTACTGGGCACTGGGCACTGGGAACTGGAAGTGATTTGGCCAACCACCCCTCCCTTTGGCTCCTGGACTCTATGAGAGGCAGATGTGTCACCAGCCAGCCACGGTCCAGCATGAGGGAAGCTTGGGGTAATGGGAGCCCCAAGGAGGGAGAGTCTGGCTCTGCATGTGGTAAAAGTCCTACGCACTTGCAACGCCTTTATAGTCGTGATCTCATTGCATCCTTCCCACAGCTCTATTGGGGCGTGGACGGTCATTCCGTGTCACAGAGAAGGAAGCCAAGGAGAAGTCATTTGTCCAGGATCACAAAGCTTGGAGGCCACAAAGATATTTTCATTGAAATTCAATTCAATTCAATTCAATTGAGCTATTATGTGTCAGCCCCTGCACTGGGCCAAGCACGGTGGTTCTTACAGGAACGGGGTCTTACAGGAGCAAACTAGGCATGACACCAGCTGGGACTGGGGATGCAAGAGGCTGGGGGAGCCCAGAAGAGGCAAGTAACGGGAGATGATGTTTTGGGGGCACTTTTTTGAGTTGGAAGATCAGACAACTGACCTAGGAGTGTTTGAGGCTGCGGGGGTTAAGGGGAGAGGGCCTAATCACGTGCTTAGG